AGGGAGTGGCGTGAACTGCTTTTTGTTATTTCCCCTTTGGGGCGGCTTGCGGCTTGAGACCGGTTGCTGTCCACTGCTTATCTGAATCATTGGGGAAGGACGAACGGTTTGGGTGTATGCAACATCCGCATCTGTCAGGGGTTCTTTCTCCTTCTTCATGTCGAGTTTCTTGCTTGTGGAAGTGGGGTCTGTAAACCACCCCTCACGCAATCCCATTTCGATTCGTTCGCCCACAGGAACAAGACGATTAAGGGATTCAGCAGTGGCACCAACCAGGCGGTGTCTGTATTCATATGGAAGAGACTTTATGAACAACTTCACTTGTTCATGATCAGTGAGTTGTGGGGTAACCTGGGCGGCCAAGTTTCTCCATCTGGTGGCATACTCTTTAAAGGACTCACTCTTCTTCTTCTCAGCGCGTTCCAGATCGTCACGAGTGAAGGTGACGTCAAGGTTGAACTGATAATGCTTGAGGAATGCATCAGCGGCATCATCCCAAGACTTAAAAGTATCCACATCCTTCGACATATACCATGTCGGGCCGGCCCCGTCAAACTCGCTTGAAAGGTCGAATCATGAGGGGTTCATTGTCAACGTCTTGGGTCATCCGCACATGATACATGTGCAAATGATGTCTGGGGCATGAGGTACCGTCATACTTCTCGAATTCCGGCATCTTGAATTTTTCCGGTACTTTGACCCGTTTGTATATAGACAGGTCAAGTGGGACAAGCATTTTGCGGGCCTTGTAGCCGTTTCAAGATCTCCTCGACCTTTGCAAGGCGTTTGTCCTGTTCTGTCATCGGTACAGCTTCAAGTTCAGGCTTCTTGACAGCAAGGGGAAGCGGATCGTCCTCCAGCAGGGGCATTTTACTGTCACTGGCAGAGGCTTTGTCTTTTCCAGTAGACGGTGGTGATAACACCACCTCAACTGCTGCAGGCGTAGGTGTGAGCTTGCCATGAATGGACTCCACCTGCTTTGTGAGATTTTGGATCGCATTGATGACCATTTTCATCTCATCTTCCATGTTGTTGAGACGGACGTTTTCTTCGGCCATTTTTTGTAGCTACCTGCGAAAACGCTAATATGAATGAGTATAATGCTCAATAAAGAATCATTCTATGACTTAGTCATATTATTATTGCGTATTTTCTTTATTTGCAAAGAAAAAAAATAAGCAAAAAGGGTTTTTATTAATATTAACATTACAGGCGGCGTCCCCGGGGTTCGAACCCCGGTCGCCTCGGACCGTTACTGCTCATCCCCGGATACCACTGGGCCGAAGGCCGCGATGGTGTCATCAAGGGGCAAAAAATTTTATTTAAAGCATAAAAAACGGCCCGAGTTATATTAACATTTGTACAACCCAAAAACATTTTTACAGGAGATAACCAAAATCCCTGAACATAAATACAGGGAAAATATAAAAGACAGAGGCTTTTAACAAAAGGGTGCCCTTCCCGGATACTCATTTTATAAACGATGGGGAAATCACGGTCTCTCGGAGGCGCTTATTTTTACGGACAAGCTCCGCAATAAGCGTATCCCTGGTATATAGACTGCAATCAACGGGTGGCCTAACAGTAACAAATCAATTGAATAAGTAGACCGTATATATAAAAAAATGAGAAGGGATAGAATATATATACCTTTCCTTGAACCATGGCAATCGCAAACATGCACATGAGGAGTGAGGTTCGATTTCTATCTAGACTGGCTCAGCAACATGAAGTTAAAAGGGTGCCTGACCGTCGCAGTCTCGCGTTGGTGTCAAGTCCTTTTAACCTCGGCCAAATCGAAAGGAATATCTTATAGTCACGCGAATAGCGGCTAAAGATACTTCTTTACGATTTTTAGAAATAAATTTCGGGGAAAAGAAAGGCAACCTCTACATCGCGGACTCGCGTTCGAGGTCGTATCTTTCTTAACACCATCCTAAGATGCCCTATCGCGGCCCAGGTCCGGCAGCGTGGTTGTGTGTGCAACGGTGTAGTGCTAAATCATTAAAGCATGCACAACAAATTATAAACAATCAATTCGAACCTGCAAGACAAATAACACCTTAATGTCAGGATCATACCTGAAGTCCTTGCTGTCAAACAAAATTTATTTTGAACAGGATAAAATTTTTGGCTTAAGTCCACTTTGAAAAAAAACAAGTCCCCAGCGGAGTCGCCAGTCTGTCGCGACCGAACTCCCGAGCCCTTTTTTAAACGACATGCAAAGAGAAGGGGGGCTCGCCTGGTACGTGCTAAGTCTAGGTTCGGGACTTAACTCGGGCTCTCCCAAGCCCATACCATATCGCGACTTAGGGTTTAAGTTTTTAACATGCAAGTGGTTTATATCGAGGAGTCGCCACTAATCGATTTGGGGTGGGTCGATTAGAAACCCAAATAGGGTGATGGGAGAATCACCCTATTCCTACGAACCAGAGATTAACTGAATTCGGGGACTTGGTTACACTAGTTAGATAACTAATGCCCTTTCGGTACCATTTTACCCTGTTCATTTCTGAAAACATTTGTCAGGCAATTTTGATTGATTTTAGGACCTTTCTCCTAACATGTGAGGTGATCAAGCGAGTGCATAATCAGAAACGATTAGCAGTCAGGAACACAACCATTCATGCAGCCTAAGGTTCTAACCTTAACTAAGTCAGATGACATTCAAAACACAACAGCTCAAGCAATTGTATTAAAAACATGCATAACAATACAACGGTAATAAAAACTATCATGCAAAATACTACCGCGTAATCCTAGGTTTATCTAATTTAAACATGGTAAATTATGCATAATAATACTATAACAAATAAAACATTTAGAATATAATACAATTTTAAAAAAAAAAAAAAAATTTTTAAAAAAATTTAATTTTTTAATTTTTAAAATTTTTTTTTTTCGAAAAAAATAAAATAAAATAATAATAATAATAATAATACAGAAGAAAGAACAAAAAATAATAATAATAATAATTTTTTTTCTTAAAATTTTTTTTAAAATTTTTAATTTTAAATTTTTTTAATAAAATAATATTATAATATTAACCGGGTCGGGTCGGATCCGACCCGGGTCAACGGATCCGACCCGGGCGTTGACCCGGGTCGGATCGGTCAATCCGGGTCGGTCGGAACCGACCCGGGTCAACGGATCCGACCCGGGCGTTGACCCGGGTCGGAACTGTTAATCCGGGTCGGTCGGGCACCCGACCCGAGTCAACGGATCCGACCCGGGCGTTGACCCGGGTCGGAACTGTTAATCCGGGTCGGTCGGAACCGACCCGAGTCAACGGATCCGACCCGGGCGTTGACCCGGGTCGGATCTGTTGATTCGGGTCGAATCCGACCCGAACAAACAGACCCGCGGGGAGGGGGGCGCCGGCGAGGCCAAAATTGGCCGTCCGCCGGCTGACCCAGGCCAGCGCCGCCCCCAAGTCGCCCGACTAGGACCGCCTGTGGGCTGTGCCACTCACCTGAGCCGCCGCCGGACCACCGTTCGCCGGCCGGCGATGAAACAAAAACCGGCGTGGTTGAGACATTTCGTCGAACGCCTGGCGGGCGCGTGGAAAAACGGGGGATTCCGACCTCCTCCGGCGATCCGGTCGACTCCAGCGGCTTGGGTTCACCTCCGACGGCGACTAGGAGTCGGGACCGACGACGGTATGGGCCGGGATTCGCGCGAAACGGCCGGCGCGAGTCCCGGCCAAACCGAGCCAAAAATCAGGGGAAAACAGGGGAGCTTCGCGGCCGAGGGGGGCTCACCGGTCGACGGCGCGTCTGGGCGGCTTCCGGCAGGTCTGGCGGCGTCGACGACCGCTGCTGGTTCTTCTTTAGCTCCGGCGGACTCTCGGCTCCCTCTCTCTTCTCTGTTTCACTCTCTAATCTCTCTCGGTCTCTCTCGGTTTCTCTCTCTCACTCTGTTTTTCTCTGTTCTGTTTTCTCTCAAAATGTCCGACCGGGGCTGCTTCCGGGGGTTGCCGGTCGGCTTGCTGGTGACGACGAGGCCGGCTGGGACCTGCAAGACCCTCCGAGGCTCCTCTCTCTTCTCGGTTTCTCTCTGATTCTCTCCGGCCTCTCTCCAAAAATGGCCGACCCCCGGGGACTTCTCTCTCTCTCTGACCTTAAGGCGGCATCGACGTGTCTCTCTGCCTCTCTGCGTCGGCGTGACCTCGGCCTGCACCGGCCTACGCCACGCCACGACTTTCGTGGCCATTTGCAGGCCGGTGCAGAGCAGAGCAAAAAGGGGGGGGGGCGGTTCAGTGAAGGTGCAGAGAGGGAGAGAGAGCCTGGGAGATGAGGAAGACGGGACTGGCCTTAATGGCCAGTCCCTGTGGCGTGCCCGCCTGGGCCTCCTCTGACCGGATGACGACGATGAGGAGCGGCGCCGCCGTGCGTCACGCCCGGTCGCGCACGGGGGAGAACAGGGGGAGGAGAGAGCGACCGGCGCGGGGGGAAGGAAGGAAGGAAGAAGGCGGGCGGGCCGGGCCCAGCGGCGTGGGGAAAGAAGAAGGAAAGGAAAGCGGGCCGGGCCCGTGCGAAGGGAAAAAAGAAAAGAAAAAGGGCCGGGGCCCGGGGGAAAAAAGGAAAAAAGGAAAAAAGAAATGGGCCGGGTCGGCCCAGCTCCGACCCGGCCCGACTCGATTTTTTTTTTTTTTGGTGTTTTTTTTTTTTTTTAAATTTTTGTTTAAAATTTAAGAAAATATGCTCTAATAGGCCCTATTAATTCACATATGCCTAATGTCTATATGCAATGCATTTAAATAGAAATATTTTTTTGTTTTAGGAATTAAAGAAAATTAATTCCTAAATTTTGTGTAATTAATTTTGGGCAAATCAAAAATAGGTGTCAACACTTGCCAAAAAGTGTTATTCCACACCTTCCGAAGCTCCCCTTCCTTCATCCTTTTTTACACTCAAATCTGTTTGCCTTCCACGTTTCTCGTTGTTCTTGCTCTGCAGCTCACTATCATCATTCTCTCTCTCTGTCACTGTCGTTTTGTTCTTTGTTTCTTGGACTTAAAATCAAAGAAAAATGTCGACCGATTCTGCCGTTTCTATTTTATGGGATGTTTTGAAGTACGTAGTTGTTCGCATCAAGCGTCAATTCGGATACGTCATGTCCTCCAAGAGTTACGTCAACGATCTTCAGGAGGAAGTCCAGAAGCTGGCTAACGAGTCTCAGAGGGTCCACATTCTTGCTGAAGTGGCTAGTAACAATCTACGGAATTTCTACGGTGGCTTCACGGAGTGGCAGACAAATGCTGAAAATGCCTTGAAGGAGGCGCGAGACCTGTTGGGCATCTTCGAACAGGCGAGCAAGACTTGCTGCTACGGGACTCTTCCCGACCCCAATTGTCGCTATCGGTTCAGCAGGCAGGCCAAGGTCAAGATCGAGGCCATTCGGCAACTCGCTCAAAAATGCAGTGAATTCAAGGAATTGAATGACATCTCCTTCAGCGATCCTGCTCCGGGGAATGTCACTGCTCCGACTCCAGCCAGGAGTGAAGGCAAAGATATTGTCCAGTCCACCACCACGACGACCTCCACTTCGTCTTCCTCAACGTCGATTACGCTTAAGGACGATGGCCTCTTTGAATCCAGAGTTTCGATCATAAGGGACATCATGGAAGCTCTTGCTGATAACAGCAATAGTGTGGTCGGGGTTCACGGGATGGGCGGGGTCGGCAAGTCCACCCTTTTGGCAGATGCCGAAAGGAGAATAAAGGAAGAAAAGTTGTTCGATTGGATCACTAAGGCGGACGTGTCAGAAAATCCAGACATCAAGAGGATTCAAGGAGAGATTGCGTACTGGTTGGGCCTTAGTGACATAAAGAAGGAAGATGATGTCAGCTTGCGAGCGAAGCTTCTGCGAGAGAGGTTGGAAGATGAGGAGAGGAAGAAAAAGAAGGTCCTCATAATATTGGACAACCTGTGGGAGCAGCTCAACTTGAAATTAGTCGGTATTCCTTGCGGAAATGACAACAAAGTCAGCGGATGCAAGTTGTTGTTGACGGCGAGAGATCAACGTGTTTTGCGAAGGGAAATGCGCTGTGACAAGGACTTCCTCCTTGGCGAGCTGAAGGAGGAAGAGGCAAAAAGATTGTTTAAGACGATGGTAGGAGGCAAAGTTCATGTTGAGTTCGAACCCTTGATGGATGAAGCACTCCGCATAAGTGCAGGTTTGCCTTTCCTAATTCTCGCAATGGCAAAACTTTTTATAGACACCAGTTTATCTGAATGTAAGGATGCTTTGAAACAAATCGAGAACAAAGAAATCAGTGAGGTGATAAATAAAACCTTGCAATTAAGTTATGATCATATAAAAAGCAAAGACGCGAAGTCATTATTACGACTCTGTGCTGTTTATGGTGTCTCTGAGCCCTCTCTTGAAAACTTGGTGAGGTACGGCGTGGGTTTAGGGTTATTTGGAGAAGATAGCAGCATGGAAGATGCTAGAAATAGGTTGAGCTCGCTAATCCATACTCTTCAAGCCTCCTCCCTTTTGTTACACAATGAAGAAGATGGTTTCAAGATACATGACTTGGTTCGTGGATTTGTTGCCTCGGTCACTTCAAGGGATGACCCTCTTCTCGTGTTGAAAGATAATAAGAAGTCGGTAGTAGAGTTGCCGAAGGACAAGCTTAAAAGTTGTACAGCAATATGCTTTCCCTATGTTGACATGAAGGAGCTTCCCGAAGAATTAGATTGTCCCGAATTGCGGATCTTCTTGTTGTTTACAAACAATGAATCCCTTAAGGTCCCAGATTCATTATTTAGCACTATGAGGAAACTTATGATTTTAAATCTTATTGGGATACGTCTCGCTCATTCGCCTTCGTCATTTCAATTATTGGAGAAGTTACACACATTGTGCCTTGATGGTTGTTCGATAGATGACGTAACTATTCTTGGTGAGCTAAAAGGGCTACGAATTCTCAGCTTTTTGAGCTCCAAAATCCAACGATTGCCAAAAGAAATTGGGCAATTGACAGAGCTGAGGTTGTTAGACTTGACCAATTGTAGACAACTTGAGATAATTGAACCGGGTGTGCTTGGAAACTTGATCAAATTGGAGGAGTTGTATATGCTGGAGAGCTTTCATCATTGGAATGTTGTTGATCAAACTCCCCCAACTAATGCTAGTCTTATTGAGCTGAATAACATGAAGAATCTCTGTACTTTGCATGTATTCATTCTTGATTCAAGTGTCCTCCCACAAGATTTAAACGTTGAGAAATTAACCAAGTACTTAATCCGAATAGGTGAACTGTGGCGTTGGTCAAGGCACAAAGGCTCAAGGACATTGGAGATCAAGTTGAATCCAATAAGCAATATTCTTCATACAGGATGCATACGAACTGCCTTAGACAAAATTGACGATCTATATTTGGACGGGTTGAATGGAATTGAGCAAAGTATTTGTGAGTTATCCCCAGAAGGTTTTCCAAAATTAAAGTATCTACATGTCCAGAATAATCCCTCCATCCATTACATCATCGGACGGCTTTCCCTTCCTGCTTTTAAGATGTTGGAGTCGTTACTTCTCGATAATTTCATCAACTTGGAGAAGATATGCCACGGCCATATCTCCTCCATGTCTTTCAGGACATTAAAAGTAGTATTAGTCAAAAGTTGTCCCAAGATGGAAGTTCTGTTCCCTCTTTCTTTACTGAGAAAGCTTCCACAGCTAGAAGAGATCCGAGTTATCGATTGCAACTTTATGCGGGAGATTGTAGAAGCTGATGATCATGGCAAAGTTGAGTTGCGTAATTTGCATAAATTGGAATTGCATAACTTGCCAAATATCAAGAACTTTGTGACCGCTAGGACGGCTCCTTTGAGTAGTACATTAGACGGCCAAGTTGGCACTCAAGTTGCATTCTTCAACGGGCAACAGGTAACTTTCTATCAAAAGAATATAGTATTTAATAATCTTTCTTTGCTGTGCTCATTAGATGTAACATAGATTATTTTGCTTATTCATTTTGTTATTTTCAATTCATTTTCTTCCTAATTACCTTACCATTCATGCCTTCTCTGTACTTAGATAAAACAATCTTCCATTTCTCTTCATTGTGTAGAAACCCAACTAATTATATGAAACCCATGTAAATTTAGTTTGCAACAGGTTCTAAGTTATTTTCAACTTACATGCGGCGAGTATATCTATATAGATATGATATGGTTTCATAAAGCAAAATTGAAAGGAATTTCAACATTAAAATAATTTTATAATTAAGTAATTTCATAATCTTGTGAAATGGATTCCATTGAATTTAGTTCTCTAACTTTGTTATTGTCTATTAAATGTATAATATAGCCGACTCCGGTATAAACCAATACGCAGAGTGAGTAAGAGGACTGGGTTTTTAAAAGAAAAGCAACTATCCTAATCTAATTGATGCACGTCTTCCATGTATCATGCAATTAAATAAGCACTTAGTCATTGCATAGGCCCAATAATTGTATTAGTACACAATTCTGTGCGTGTTCATGCATACATGCACACGGAATTGTATAATATATATAGTTGTACGCACTTTTGGCATCACAAACATAAATCTACACCTTATGTTTAATATCTCGTGGTAGGCATTACTGAGCGACTTTGAGGAAAAATGACATGAAATCCCCCATGAAGTTTATAGAGCGGTACACATTTAGTCCCAAAATTTCAACCTTTAGAGAAAACCCCTTGAGCCATCAACCCTTTGTCCATTTTTTCCATTTGCGAGTACCCTGATTTTTCAAGGGTAAAAGTGTAATTCTTCTCTAACTCTTTAGTCCCAATGATTCTTCTATATTATTGCATTTTTCCTCATTTTTGGTATTTATTTTGGAAAATCTTAATTTATTTTAACGCATTAGGAGGCCAAAGGATGATTTGACTAAAACAAATATAGAAGAATTACAAATTTACCGTTAAAGAAATCACATGGAAAGCACATGCAAAGGTAAAAAGCACGGAGGGTTCACACCAGAAGTAAAATCGAAGTTGAAGGAACACCAAAGTTTAGGAGTAGAGATGTATCACCCTCAAAGTTCAAAAGGGATTTTGTGTAATTTCCCTTTCCTTTTGGCTATTTTTTTTTGTAAGTTAATGAATGTTATATTGATGTACATTAGCATCATTGAAGAATGAGGAAAAATATAAGAGTGTGACTATTAAAGAGTGAAATCACGAAGAAAGAGAGGAGGGGACGGTCAATAAATAACGGGTGGCTTCTTGAGAGAGGAATTCTAATATTGCCGAAGAGCCAGAATTTCCAAAAGTAGCATAGAAGCTCCACGATTACTCCATGCAATACATTTAATTACAAGCGTCGATACGGTCCATATAAAAGATAGATATAGGTATGTTTGGGGGAAAAGTGTCATGACAGTCCTAACCTTTTGGTTGTGCGTCGATTGAGTCCTACATATTTTATTTTGTTGAGTCCTCAACTTTTTGAAATACATGCAAATCAAGTTCTAATGTTTATTTAGATGGCAAATTTCTTCGCCAAAAATCAAACCATTATATGTTTCGTGAAATTCAGTATAATTCTGGCATAAATCAAGGGATAATGTACATAGTTTTGGTCCTTGATTGAGTGCAGACTTGATTATCATAATTTAGTAAAAAATAACTCATAAATTTTATGTTAATGGTGAAAAATCATTATCATTTTCCTGCTTTATTTACGTAAAATTTGGATTTAATTTTATCAATTGATTCTCGTAATCAAGTTTTTCACTCATTTCTCAACAACTCGTCTGCTTTACTCCTTTATTATGGCCAAAATCATGCTTTTATTTTGGTGAAAGTTTAAAATGAAATGATTTTCAAACTACTGTTCGGAGTCCATAACTTAATCTCAACCCACAATTTGAAGCATTATGCCAAGATGCCGCTGAGACTAGAGGGTACGAAATGGCAATCCGTAACAATCATAATATTAATGCTTTTATGTAACAAAACTTTATCGCCTAGAAATCTGACTAAGAGAACTGTCTCAGGCACTATGTTATTGAAGTTGATAATCTAGATCATCACAACAACAATTTATAGCATTTAATTGAATTTGAGGGCAATAATCTATAGTTAATTAAACTACTAAACTAGTAGGTGGAAATGTAGCTAATTGCCAAACTAGCTTTGGTGATAACATTCAATAGGAGATCCTTTGGGTTCAGTCTTTACACCTAGTGTAAATCAGTCCAAAGATGACAAATCATGCCAGCGCAAAATGAGGGAAGCAATTAAAGGTGAAAAGGTTTTGTTATATCTTTTTATCAATGAAAACGATGTTACATGCCGTATCCGACGCCAGCTGTTGGATTCAAAGCAAAAAAATTAGAAACGACATTATATGGAGATCTTTTTACTCCGTTTTTTGATCTTATTCTTTTTTTTCCCCTTTTTCCCCTTTCGTGCCACTTAATAATCCCCTCTCTCCTTGGCAGTCATCTATACTTACATATTGAAAGTTCATGAATTCGTAATTTAACTGAATCACTAATTCCGTAGATATATTCATTCCTACGATACAAATGGTGATATTTCTTTCATCTAATGGAAAAACCGATGACAGGTTCACGAGAAGCTCAGAGTCAAGACAACGTCAAATCATGCTCCACTGCACTCTTCAATCGAGAGGTACGTAATTAACGTTATGACAAAATATTAATATACCGGAGACAAATCATAGCCAAAATAAAAAATAACTAAATTACTTACAAAGTGTACTATGGTTAAAATATTTTAAAAGAAAATGAGTAGCATACAAGCGTAAGAGTTGAGAGTTGCTGACATATATGAGTTGCAATTTCTTACTTATAATTTTTCTATAGTTTCCATAAAGATGGGTGAACATCTCTTGTGGTACCTGCACAGAGCATGAACCGGTAATACAATTGCAAAATAGCATCTCTAAAAGCTTTCCGATTTACACAAGAAATTTATGACTCTCAACAACATCACAACCACAACTTAGGCATTACACACATATATATTGAAAGCAATTGAAAAGACAATTGAGAGGAAAGCGGGCAGTAATGTTCAAGAGGCTGGAGATGAAGGGCCTTTGAGACGCTCATTTGACTTTGTTTGCACTTACAAGATCTCTCTATATAACATATATGTATAATATATATGTATATTATATTATAAATATTTTTTTTGCCTCTTGCTAATTAATTGTACCTCAAAGCCCCAATTCTTTCTTAATTGCACCAGCAAAAGGAGTCTGAGCCCTCTCCATCGCCAAACCGGGAAACATCTCTAGGATTCGGGCCTTCGGAAATCACCCCTTTTAGTTTTTACATCAATTGCTCGACCAATTTTATTGAACTCTTGTTAAATGAATAAAATACATATTTCAGATCTGCCACTTGAGTCCGAGTCATTTGACTTCTCGAATGGATGGTAGAAGTTAAACTTGTTCAAAATGAAACATGAAACTACTTTTCGTAAAATGGAAAAGGAAAATTGCCCAATTTGGACAAAAATCAACCACGATTACTTTATTAAGGAAAAAATTTAAAGCAAAAAATTTCTACTCCCAGTCCCGTAACCAACGCCAACCGTTGGATTTAAAGCAAAAAATTTCCACCTATTGAATTGGTTATTTATAGTAATTTGCTCAATCCCGTATCCAATTAAGGAAAGCACAAACCTATTTTGTGCCGTAGAAATTGCCGCGAGTAGAGCCTTTTGGTTGACCAATAAGATTGCCCTTTATAATTGCGTGATTATCATGCAATATGTTAGCTTCTGTCAGTACAGAGTTGTGGAAATTTAAGTTGTGAGTCCCACAAGGTAGTGCGTATGAGTACAGCCTTTTCTTCTTCCCATGCTTCGACCCTCCACGGAGAGAGCTCGCTTTCAAAGGCAACGGAGGAACTACAGTGGAAAATTTTGCGAAGAGGCTTTAGGGCTTTTTTTTGGGGGGGGGGAGGGGGAATAGGTTATGGGGATTTCAACTTTGATTTGATAGGCAAAAAACTAAAGTAACTTTTCTTTGACTAAGCATTTTCTTGCCAATTCAATTGTTCAAGTTACCGTTGCAAGGAACGATATTATACAAGTGGACTTTTTTTTTTGGGTCAAAATACAAATGGTCTTTGAACAAGTCAAAATTAGTATCAAGTGATAGCAGTTGTTGTACAGCTTATATAATTGTAACCAACTTTTCCTTGTGAAGTTGTAAATTACTCTTCGAAATTGCTCAATTTCCTCTGGTAGGTAGCAAATTAAATATACATTCCGTAATTAAAGTCTTATAGCATAGTAATTTACTTCTCTTGACTGCCATCTCGCCTTTTTGAGATAGTCAATCACAGATTGCAATAAGTAATTTCCTTTTGAAAGTACATTGCCTATGTCTTCCGTAATTCCATAATCACGGTCATTCTACAGCTTCTTATTCTCTTTCATGGTAGTAATCTTCACTTGTGAGATAGTAAATTGCTTTCTAGCAATCATCCTATAAAATGAGTAATATATCTTCAAATTAGTAACATAACTTAAGAGGGAGTAGTTTACCTTATAGGAAGTAATTTATCCTGAAAGTACTTCTTTTTGCTTTATGGGTTACTAATTTTCGTTGTCATAAGTAAATTGAATGGGTGCTAATTCATGACTGTAATTTCTCTTACTGCTAGTAAATAGCAAACTAAATTTAATCGTAATAACATCCCTTGTTATATTGTAAATGACAAGTAAAGTTCAATAGTTGTCTTTCGGGCTCGTAACATACCTTTTTGGATTGTAACTTAGCTTTCGTTTATCAAAGATTTTTGTAAATGCAAAAATTATCCAAAAGGTTGTAAATTACTTTGCTCGTAAATTTCTTTCGGCAACCATTCCTGTTATGGAACGTAAATTCCTTGTCTGTCCTTTGTAATTGTAAATGCTATCGTTGATGGGTCTGTGCGTCAGGTCTCAATTCCATCCTTGGAGTCCTTATCGCTGAGTGGACTTCCCAAACTGAAAAGTTTATGGAGTGATGAATTTCCATTGGGGCTAAGCAATCTTCGATCTCTCACGATAGGGTCATGCAAATCTCTCTCAAAGGTTATCAACTCTAAGTCGCTGGTAAAACTACACAAGTTACACACTTTAACTATATATCATTGCGATTCGGTGGAAGAAATTTTTGACCTCGATGTACCAAACGCCAGTGGAAATGTTGAGACTTTGTTTGAGCTAACCACCTTGAAATTAAATTACTTGGAGAGCTTGAGGCACATATGGAACAAGAATGCTTGTGAAATAGTACGATTCCATAATTTACAGCGGTTAGAGGTGTCCGGATGTGACAATCTTCTGTTTATGTTTTTCTCATCCATGGTTGAATCTCTTGCAAAACTGAGAGATCTAAAGGTACATAATTGCGACAAGATGGAGGCGATCATTATGGAGGAAGAAGGGTCGAGAATGGAAACATTAGAAACTTTGGCATTCCCTTTGTTAACCAATTTAGAGTTAAGCGATTTGGAAAGCTTGACGTGCTTCTCTCGCGGAAAGTGTAAGACTATTTTTTTGATTTCATCACTGAAGATCTTGTACATAGATTCATTCCTGCAATGAAAATGGTGATATTCTTTTTTTTTAATGAAAAATTGCCGACAGGTTCACGAAAAGTTCGGAGTCAAGACCACGTCAAGTCACGCTTCAATGTCCTCTTCGATCAAGAGGTACGTAATTAATATTATGTCAAGATATTTAATATAACAAGAATCTTTTGGAGTAAACTACTTGGCATGATTGTTGCGTGTCGTGGTATTTTGTAAGTTTACGTTCTGTGCATTTTAATTTGCCACGTGGCACTACAAACAACTAGCAAGATTTCAATTCACACCAATCCCGTGAGAGGAAGAGGTGGATTAATCACATCAAATTATTGAAAATTAATAAAGAAGCATATAGGCTTATACTCGCAATATTAATGATTTTGTACAATAAACCTTTATCACCTAGAGATCCGACTTAGAGAGATCCGACTTAGAGAACTGTCTTAGGCACTATGTAATTGAAAACTTCTGGAGATGAAGTTGGTGATTTAGATCATCACACCAATCATTACTGGCATTTAATTGAAATTGAGGGTGATTATTTATAGTAGACTAAACTACTAAACTAGTAGGTGGGAATGTAGTTAATTGTTTTGGATTTAAACCCAAAAATTTCCACCTATTAAATTGGTTATTGATAGTAATTTACTAACATTAGAGAGAAGTTAGTGAACTAAGGATAAACAATTGTCCAATTAAGGAAAAAGCACGGCTATTTTGTATAGCAAAATTTGTTGCGAGTAGAGCCTTTTAGTTGACTAGAAAAAAAATTGCCCTTTTATTGTGGCACGAGAAGTTGATGGTGGGGCCCAAGACTCATACAATATGTTAGTTTCCTTGTAACTAAAGGGTAGTGAAAATTTAAGTATTGGGTTCCACGAGGCAGTGTATCTGATTATCTCCACTTCAACCCCGACTTTTCTTCTTCGCATGCTTTGAGCTTCAATGGAGAGAGCTCGCTTTCAAAGACAGTGGAGGAACCAGATAGGGAGATTTTTTAAATGAGGCTTTGCGGCTATTAACTTTCTAGGGTGGGTTCTAAGTCTACATTAAAGAATCGCACTGGCCTTAATACTTTTTGTGTGTGTGTGCAGAAACTAGATCCACAAGGATCTATGGGATTACACTGAAATGTTTCTTTAAGTACAGTTAATTGGGATTAGGTGACATATGCTTACGGACTTTAAAGGAACATCGAGGTAATGACTAAAGATGGCGAAAAAGAAGTTCATGACAATCTCAAGTTGTTTATTATTTCTCAAGGAAATTTGAAATTTCTAGGACTTTCAAAATTAGGACATCTTGAAGTAACGTATTTCTTTTAAAGATAGGTTACTGTCATTGACATGGACTTAAAAGGAAAATTTCCAATTGTTGCGGTTAATTACTAAACGCAATATCTATCCCTTATGACAATTTGAGTTAACTTACTTTGTTATTGGGTAATCACTTGGTAATAGCATTCTCATGTTACAATTTACGTATCTAAATCAAAGGATATGCAATAAAGGAAAGTACTAACTATATAGAGATGCAATTGAGAATCGGAGGACTTTAGACAAATTATGGTTAGCGGTGCAACTGCTAATAACTGAGATTTAAGTTATGACCTATCGAGTAAAATAACAACAACAATTGTTGGGTACCTAGTAATTTCATCGTGGAGTTACGAAGCATGAAAGGAAGTCAATAGTATGGATTGTTTGTGGCCTACTCCTATTCCTATGCATACATTATCTGCGATGGGCTTGGATGGCTCATGTGTCGTCTTGCTTTTCAATTTTTTTGTGCCTGCTTTCTCTCCCCCTCGCTCTCTCTCACAAAAAGTTGCTCAGCATCACAAATGGGGCTGTACGGCCTGTACCCCCTACTCTCTCTCGGCACGGGGCCGGGAAAATATTGCACACAACTTGGACGCCACCTCATTTTTACACAGGCCACTTAGAGAGCAACACGTGTCACTCCCGACCCCACCTGTCAGGGATATTTTCTCCCGTTGAAGACGTCTGCTATATCTCTCTCGTCCTTCTCTCTCCTTCGCTACGCTTGTTTTTCTTCTTCTTCTTTTCTCGCGCCATCATGGCCGCGGAGCTCGAGCCCAAGGCTCGCTGCGGCAATGGCAACAGAGCTCGACCTCGAGTAACCGTGGTCGCGAGCTCGAGCTATGGCAACCATGGTCGCGAGCTCGTGCTCAAGCGACCATGGCTGCTTTAACCTCGAGCTCTAGGCACAAGCCCGAGCTCCACAGCCATAGCAGTTGCGAGACAGCAGATTAATGGTCCATGGGCTCTTTGGAAGCGGCGATCTAGCACAATAGAGAAAAAAGACAGAGAGAACGTCTGTGTGCTCGAAACTCGAGCTGTCATGGCTACTGCAAGCTCTAGGCTCGAGGTCGAGCTCCGTCGCCATGGCGGCCGCGAGCCTTGGGCTCCAGCTCTGCGGCCGGGGACGGAGAAGACGTCGGTGACGCCGATTTGGACGAGCCGTTGGGAGGCGCTCCGACGTCGTCCGATTTTGGTGTCCGTGGAGGAGATGAGAAATTGCAGAGAGGGAGTTGGAGGGAGAAAGTCAAGAGGGAGTCAGTGACAGGAGGGGAGAGAGAAAAGTGGGCCCCATGCAGACTCCTTCAACTGTGTAATTGACTTCAAAGGTGGTGTCGCTCTTTGAGTGGTTCATGTAAGAATGAGGTGGCATCCAAGTTGTGTCCAATATTTTCTCGGCCGTGGGCTGAAGGGTTGAGAACCACATCTCCTTGCCCCCGCCGTTGCCACACTCGGCCGCCACCACCATGACCGGCCACCGATCACTGCCATCAGACGTCGTCATCAGTAATGTATCTTCAAATTAGTAACATAACTTAAGAGGGAGTAGTTTAATGAAGTAGTTTACCTTATAAAAAGTATTTTATCCCGAAAGTACTTCTTTTTGCTTTACGGGTCACTAATTTTCGTTGTCATCAGTAAATTGAATGGGTGCTAATTCATGACTGTAATTTCTCTTAATGCTAGTAAATAACAAACTAAATTTAATCGTAATAACATCCCTTGGTATATTGTAAATAACAAGAAAAGTTCATTAGTTGTTTTTTGGGCTCGTAACATACCTTTTCGGATTGAAACTTAGCTTTCGTCTATCAAAGATTTTTGTGAATGCAAAAATTATCCAAAAGGTTGTTAATTACTTTGCCGGTAAATTTCCTTCGGCAACCATTTCTGTTATGGAACGTAAATTTGTTGTTGGGTCTGTGCGTCAGGTTTCAATTCCATCCTTGGAGTACTTGTCGATGAGTAAACTTTCCAATCTGAAATATTTATGGAGTGATGAATTTCCATTGGGGTTGAGCAATCTTCAATCTCTCGTGATATCTTCCTGCAAATCTCTCTCAAAGGTTATCAACTCTGAGTTGTTGGTAAAACTACACAAGTTACACACTTTGACTATAAAATATTGTGATTCGCTGGAAGAAATTTTTTACCTTGATGTACCAAACGCCAGTGGAAATGTTGGGACTTTCTCTGAGCTAACCACATTGAAATTAAGTTACTTGGTGAGCTTGAGGCACATATGGAACAAGAATCCTTGTGAAATAGTACGATTCCATAATTTACAGCAGTTAAAGGTGTCTCAATGCGACAATCTCTGGTTTATATTTTTCCCATCCATGGTTAAATCTCTTGCAAAACTGAGAGTTCTAGAGGTACGTTATTGCAACAAGATGGAGGCGATCATTATGGAGGAAGAAGGGTCGAGAATGGAAACATCAGAAACTTTGGCATTCCCTATGTTAACCCATGTTGAGTTAAGCAATTTGGAAAGCTTGACGTGCTTCTCTCGCGGAAAGTGTAAGACTAATTTTTTGATTTCATCACAAAAGATCTTGTAGATAGATTCATTCCTGCAATACAAATAGTGATATTCTTTTTGTTTAATGAAAAACCACCGACAGGTTCACGAAAAGTTCGGAGTCAAGACCACGTCAAAACACGCTTCAATGTCCTCTTCGATCAAGAGGTACGTAATTTATATTATGTCAAGATATTTAATATAACATGAATCTTTTGGAGTAAACTACTTGGCATGATTGTTACGTGTCGTGGTATTTTGTAAGCTTACGATCTGTGCATTTCAATTTGCCACGTGGCACTACAAACAACTTGCAAGATTTCCATTCACACCAATCCCATGAGAGGAAGAGTTGGATTGATCACATCAAATTGTTGAAAATTAATAAAGAAGCATATAGGCTTATACTCGCAATATTAATGATTTTGTACAATAAACCTTTATCACCTAGAGATCCAACTTAGAGAACTGTCTTAGGCACTATGTAATTGAAAACTTCTGGAGATGAAGTTGGTGATTTAGATCATCACAACAACAATTACTGGCATTTAATTGAAATTGAGGGTGATTATTTCTAGTAGACTAAACTACTAAACTATTAGGTGGGAATGTAGTTAATTGTTTTGGATTTAAAGCCAAAAATTTCCACCTATTAAATTGGTTATTGGTAGTAATTTACTAACACTAGAGAGAAGTTAGTGAACTAAGGATAAATGATTGTCCAATTAAGAAAAACGCAAGGCTATTTTGTATAGCAAAAATTGCGGTAGGTAGAGCCTTTTAGTTGACCAGACAAGATTGCCCTTTTATTGTGGCATGAGTATCGCTAAAGTTGATGGTGGGGGCCCAGACACATGCAATATGTTAGTTTCCTTGTAAGTAAAGGGTTGCGCTTGGACAAAAAAAAAAAAAAGGGTTGCGGAAATTTAAGTATTGGGTTCCACAAGGAAGTGTATTGGATTATCTCCACTTCAACCCCAACTTTTATTCTTCCCATGCTTTGAGCTTCAATGGAGACTGCTCACTTTCAAAGACAGTGGAGGAACTAGATTGGGAGAATTTTTAAAGAGGCTTTGCGGCTATTAACTTTGTAGGGTTCTAACTCTACATTAAAGAATTACTCTGGCCTTAATACTTTTATTTTTGAGTGTGTAGAAACTAGATCCGCAAGGATCTATGGGATTACACCGAAATGTGTCTTTAAGTACAGTTAATTGGGATTAGGTGACATAAGCTTACGGACTTTAAAGGAACATCGAGATAATTGACTAAAGATGGGAAAAAAAAAGTTCATGATAATCTCAAGTTGTTTATTATTTCTCAAGGAAATTCGGAATTTCTAGGACTTTCAAAATTAGGACAACTTGAAGTAATGTATTGCACTTAAAAATAGGTTACTGTCATTGATATGGACTTAAAAGGGAAATTTCTAATTGTTGCGGTTAATTACTTAACGCAATATCCATCCCTTATGACAATTTGAGTTAACTTACTTTGTTATTGGGTAATCACTTGGTAATAACATTATCATGTTACAGTTTTCATAGCTAAACCAAAGGATATGCAATAAAAGAAAGTACTAACTATATAGAGATGCAGTTGAGAACCGGAGGACTTCAGACAAATTATGGTTAGTGGTGCAGTTGCTAATAACTGAGACTGTAAGTTACGACCTATTGAGGAAAATAACAACAATTCTTGGGTCCTTAGTAATTGCACCGTGGAGTTACGAAGCATGAAAGGAAGTTAAAAGAGTATGGATTGTTTGTGGCCTACTCCTATTCCTATGCATATATTGTCTGCGATGGGCTTGGATGGCGCACACGTGTCGTCTTGCTTTTCATTTTTTTTGTGCCTGCTTTCTCTCCCCCTCTCTCTCTCTCTCATAAAAAGTTGCTCAGCATCACAAATGGGGCTGTACCCCCCGACTCTCTCTCGCCACAGGGCCGGGAAAATATTGCATACAACTTGGACGCCACCTCATTTTTACACAGACCACTTAGAGAGCAACACGTGTCACTCCCGACCCCACCTGTCAGGGATATTTTCTCCCGTTGAAGACGTCTGCTGTATCTCTCTCGTCCTTCTCTCTCCTTCGCTACGCTTGTTTTTCTTCTTCTTCTTCTTTTCTCGCGCCATCATGGCCGCGGAGCTCGAGCCCAAGGTTCGCTGCGGCAATGGCAACAGAGCTCGACCTCGAGTAACCGTGGTCGCGAGCTCGTGCTCAAGCGACCATGGCTGCTTTGACCTCGAGCTCTAGGCTCAAGCCCGAGCTCCACAGCCATAGCAGTTGCGAGACAGCAGATTAATGGTCCATGTTCGCACAATAGAGAAAGAAGACGAAGAGAATGTCTGTGTGCTCGAAACTCGAGCTACCATGGCTACCGCAAGCTCTAGGCTCGAGGTCGAGCTCCGTGGCCATGGCGGCCGCGAGCATTGGGCTCAAGCTGTGCGGCCGGGGACGGAGAAGACGTCGGTGAAGCCGATTTGGACGAGCCGTTGAGAGGCACTCCGACGACGTCCGATTTTGGAGTCCGTGGTGGAGACGAGAAATTGCAGAGAGGGAGTTGGAGAGAGAAAGTCAAGAGGGAGTCAGTGACAGGAGGGGAGAGAGAAAAGTGGGACCCACGCAGAAGCCTTCAACTGTAATTGACTTCAAAGGTGGTGTCCTTCTCTGAGCGGTTCATGTGAAAATGAGGTGGCATCCAAGTTGTGTCCAATATTTTCTCGGCTAGGGGCTGAAGGGTTGAGAGCCACGTCTACTTGCCCCTGCCGTTACCACAGTCACCTGACACCACCATGACCGGCCACCATTCACCTCCATCGACGTCGTCATCAACAGCTCATGGATTCGACCCTCGCGATCGGTCATCTCCCTTGCGGACCGAGCACAAACTCTATCTCCATCTGCTTCTCTTTGCCCGCAGCCAAATCTGCTTCTCTTTGCCTGCAGCCAACTCGGTCGCGGTCAACAAGCTCGGTGCTAGCACGAGCCATTGTTGCATCCTTTGGAGGTTGACTCGAGAGAGAGAGAGAGATTGGTAAAAAGACAATGGGCGTAAGGATGGTAGCAGATGATCTATGCCCACGGAAGCTAATATCAATGGGTGTAGAGAGAGAGAGAGATTGGTAAAAAGGAAAATTGCCCAATATGGACAAAAATCAACCGCGATTACTTCATTGAAGTTGCAATGTTGTCATAGAGAAACAACACAACCAACAGCAATCGATCGTATTCGATATGTAGAAATTGAGAAATGTCGTCCGTTTTGTTCTCAAATATTTCTTATTGCATTTTCAACCGTCCTTCATGAATAAGACGACTAGAATAAGAAAGACCAGGACTGTTAGGACCACTGCTGCCTCCATGTATTTCCTTGTATCTACTAATTTTTCTTTACATCAATTGAGTGACTCCTAACGTTGCTTACCCTTTTGAATCTAAGCGGAACAATGTATATTGTTTCACTTTTTGTTCAAGTGCTTCTAGTTCCTTTTCATAAAATTTTCCTCATTCTTACTCAATTTTGCAAATTCCTTGAAGAATTTCATCCATATTAGTAAATTAAATAACCGTCTCTAAGTGATGTAACAATTGCTATACGTAGTGTGATTTCGTTGTTTAGTGGAAATCAACAAATCTGAAGAGAGGGAAAGATTCGATTTAGATTTAGAATTTATGAGAGACTATTATGATGGTATGACAGTTATATGAGCATATCCAAATTACTATTTTGCCCATTGTCAAAGAAACATGGTTAGTTCTAATTAGACACTGGCCATGCATATAATTTGAACTTTTTGGGCCAAAATTTGAGGTTGAAAGTATTGTTGGTTTTGCTTAATTATATAGAGAGAGATAAGTAATGCTCCACTAACTAACCCAATTCTCAAGGAGAAATTCCTAAGTTGGAATAAAACTGACTCACTAATCAAATTAAGCTCTACAATGCAAAGTTATTTTCCTAAGGAAAGATTGGAGAAAGATTCCTGATCTTTTTTAGAAACGACATTAGTATGGAGACTTTTTACTCCTTTTGTATTTTATTCTTTTTATTTTCCTCTTGTGCAACTTAATTATCCCCCTCTCCCCTTGGAACTCATCTATATTTATATCTTGGAACTTTATGAATTCGAAATTTAACTAAATCACCAATTCCGTGAGTGAATTCTGCAGGTTGTGTTTCCTAGCCTGGAGACATTAAAGATCTTTGCAATGGATAACATCGAGGTGATATGGGACAATCAAGCGTATTTTCGACATTTGAAGACTCTCGTTGTGTCATTATGTCGTGAATTATCACATATTTTCACATCGACAATAGCTGAAAATTTGGTGGAACTCACCGAATTGAGAATAAGTAATTGTATAATGTTGGCAAAAGTCATTGTTGATGAGGGAGGTAAAGAGGGGCATGTAGTGGCTTTCAAACAATTGAAGTATTTGGAGCTTGACCAGTTGATAGGGTTGAGATGTTTAAGCTTAGGTGAACACACTTTGATGTTCCCTCTCTTGAAAGATGTCATTGTGAGTGGATGTCCCAACATGAAGTTTTTCTCTGAGGGACCAATAGAGACGCCAAAGTTGGACGGAGTACAAGTAACTAAACATGAAAGGAAATTTTGGAAGGAAAACCTGAACTTCACCATCCGAAATATGTTTGAAGGAATGGTATGCATCAGTTACCAAATTTTGTACAAACGAATTGTTTTGATCACCAGTAGAGTAATTGCTTTTTGCTAACTAGAATTTTTACGTTTATTGATGCATTTTCTAACAGGCTAAGTTTGCTAGAGTGAAGACAATACGGCTATCTGAGTTCCCCGAGTCGATCGGAAAATGGCATAGCGAACTTATTCCCAACAAGTCATCGTGGCAATTGGAATCACTTATGGTGGATCAATGTCCATCATTTATTAACGCAATTCCATCCAGCTTGATGCTTATTTTAAATCAAATGAGCAAATTGCATGTTCGCGATTGTGAGTTGCTAGAAGAAATATTTGATCTCGAAGGGCTGGAGGGTGTGGAAAGCACTTGGAAACTGCCTTCCTTCATGACTTTGGATTTGGTCAATCTACCAAAGTTGAGGCGACTATGGAACAAAGATCTTCAAGGATCGCTACCCTCCCATTTTCTGCGGAATCTGACCCTTTATAAATGTAGCAACTTGAGACATGCTTTCGCTCCATCGATGGCTCGGTGCCTTGCCAATCTAACGAAAATTGAAATAAAGGAGTGTGGTCAGATGGAAGGAGTGATCGCAGAGGATGAAGGGCTGAGAAACACAGTGAAGAAGATTACATTCCCGGAGCTCCGGAATATGAAATTGGAATGCTTGCCTAACTTGACTTGTTTCTTCTCGGGGAATAATCACGCACTTGATTGTCCCGAATTAAGATCTCTGACCATTGCCCACTGCCCCAAGATGAGAAGTTTGATTTCGCAATCTTCGACGGAGATTGACAACGGCACCCCTTCACTTTTCACTCCACAGGTCAGTCATTCAAGCAAATGCATTTTTGGCATTTCATTTGTAACGTATTCTCATAGAATTGGACAATGCATGTTACATGCCATGTGCGGACACAAATGCTACATTAAATGATCATAGAATCCGTCATCAATGCTTTGATCAAATTTAATCGGGACTCGTGTTTCGTACCAAAACAAAGACTAACAGAATATTCACCTCCCCATAGTAGTCCATGATCACATCCGTGGATTTTTAATGCAAAACAGTTCACACATCGATAGATTTGTACGGATTCAAAATCATCTAAGTATAAGTAAATTTCTGATAACTAATAGAATTCCCCTGCTTTGTACGGATTTATGTACATAATCTTTTGATATTTAGCATGAAGATTAAAAATTTTCTAATCCTCAAAAGTATAACTATTATTTGTACATCTCCATATCTTTTTAGAAGTGTTACTTTTGTGTCAGCTCATAAAATCATATCATACGAAGTACTTCATATTTTCTCGCTTAGATGGAAACTTGCCTCGTTCTATTGAAATGAAACCTGCAAATGCACTTCCAAATACCTCTTTTCAGGCTATGAAAGAGATTGTAGTTAAGTGTAAACTCCCACTTTTGGAGAGAGAGTGGCCTTTTTAATTGGAGTGCACTGAAATAAAATGGCGCATTTATATTTGTGATCGGCCTGAAAGTCCAAAATATTGAGGAGAAGACGTTTTCTTTGTAATCAATGTACTATTGATTATAAATTAAAACAAAAGGCCAGTTTTAAAATTCAATTATTATTTTACTGATTTCACAGATTTTAGGATAGCTTCCCGCCAGAGTAGTAGAATAAAGAATATACAGGTGCACACCATCGTCTAATCTTTTGGAGGATAAAATCAATTTTCAATTTTATTTTAATTGAATTCAGTGAACACAAGCTAACAACTTTACCAAATTTTAATTTATATCACTTCTTAAATAGGCAATTAACACGTACCAATTGATCAGGCCACTCCTTTTTGCCCTTCCTTTTGGTTTTTTTTTTGTTACGGATTCTCTACAGGTTCAATCGTTGCTTTCTTATCCAACGGAGGAAATGTTTGTGCGCTTCCTTATTGTAATGTTTTTGCCCGATTTCTTTTTATTGTTATTTGTGAGTTGAATCTTTCATCATAACGAGTATTCACACATTTATCTAATCCCTAATAATAAGAGTTATTAGTAATTTTGTACTCACTTCTAATGTCATTTATGTATCATACATGAGCTGTCATGTAATCACAGGTATCCCCCACATTCTTAGAATATTATTAAAAAGTCATCATAATAGTCAATTTAGAATACTAACAGATTTAGGGAAGTGTGAAAATAGTCATTTGATTTTTTGGTCGTGACAAGTTGTAATAGCATTAATTTCATTATCAGCTGTCATGTAAGAAGATATCCCTCACATTGTTAGAATTTTTTTGTAAAAAAGAAAAAACCATCGTAATTCTCAATTTAGAATAGTTTCTTTTCTTAATTTTTTTTAATATGTCATATCTCTAATTCTCCTCTCTATTTAACTTTTGCTATGATAGTAGCGTTTTCGCCCCCTAGTCCCTTTATCAGTAGAGCTATATGCCTATTGGCCTTTTCTTAATTGAATTGCAATTAAACTTGGCCCAACATTTTACTAAAAGGATTGAGCCAAATATAAAGATGTCAATGCTCGCTTCTCAATGGACAAGACGTGAGAGGTCAAAACACAGATGATTTTCTCCAAACAAACATAACATGGTCGGAGGGATCATTTGATTGAGGCGGATATTTTGGTGGACCATTCGGTACTTGTACGACAAACTTGTCTTTTTTCCACGATCGATGTGGTAATTCAAGTTGAGAATGTCGTAATTTCATTAATTTCAGCATAACGAAATGAAAATTTCATTTGGACTCTTAAATGAACAATTCATAATAGCTCATTCAATGGTTCCATTTTTTTTTCATACCACGAACTATTTTGTCATAACATATTTCGTTTGTTTATTAAGACTAATCGTGTTTGTCTAAAAAATTTCATGTCACGTGAAATTTAGGAAAGTGCAAAAGCATTCATTTGGTATTTGAGATCGTAATTGCATTCTTTGTGTCATAACTCAAAGAAAAATGATCTACCATCTTTTTTATGCGTGAGTATTAACAAGTGGTAAGGACCATAAGGTAATTCATTTGTCAACCGCATTTCATGGTTGGTGCAATGCCATAAAATCAGCCTTAGTCATCGGATAACTAAAATGAAAGCATCAATCAAGCCATTCTTTTTTGTGTCATTAACAAGCTCTGGAATTGCCATGATTTGTGAGAGCTAGGGAAGTTGGGAAATTCCATCTTTGAGGCCATGACTCAGGGTTATGACATTCATTGTGTGACTTTTTGTCAATATGGCAGGTACAATTTCCAAGGCTTAATGGGATCGTTCTCTCTCACATTGATAATTTGAGCAAAATATGGACCGATGATCCTCAAGAAGCTCTTGCTTTTGAAAATTTACGGAGCCTGGAGGTTAATAGATGTAAGAGCCTTGAAAATATATTTCCGCATTGGTTGGCTACAAGTCTAAACAAACTTCAAACACTTCAAGTGGAGTCTTGTGGGCTTGAGGAAATAGTCGTGAGTGGAGATGAAACTCCACACTCCACTACTGCTCAAGTTCTTTTCCTGAAACTGACATCTTTGGTGTTACATGATATGCCACGACTCAAGAGCTTTTGCACTACCTTGCCCACTTTGAACTGGTCATCCTTGCAAGAATTGCGAGTGACTCACTGTGACAAACTGAACATGTCCTTTGTGGCACCCATGAACAAGTGGCCTCAAAGAGATGATAAACGGGACCTTTCAAACCAAGAAGCACATGCTTCATTTCAAAGGGTATGATTGCAATTGTTCTTCCTCAGTTTCTACTTTGTTCCATAAGGCATTCTCTAATCTCATTCTAGTGCATGGTCATGTCATCACCTATCAGTTTGTCGACAACATAAGATAATTCTAATATCTTAAGTATACTTTTCATTTGTGGACACCTATAAGATATTCCATTACCTAAAATTGCAAAAATTATTGCAGATTGTTATTGACAAGATAAGACATTTCTAATCTGATCTACTTGAAAATAATGTATCGTGGTGCTCCTTGGGAAGTCAATAAGGACTTGACATGGGGTCCTCTCCATTGTTGACATGTCTCTCCATTGAACTTTTATTCTCTTTAATATCTTCAACAAATTATAAAAACATAAATTCAAACAATTTTCTTTAAAAAAAATTAGAACCTTAATTCACTATATTCTAATGTTTTTCTTTCATCACCCATAATATCTCACGTCAGCTGCATAGTCATGTCACATTATGATACCATATAAAATCCGAAACACCTCACCTATTAGTTTGTAGACAACATAAGATATTTCTAATATCTTAAGCACACTTTTACGTTTGGTGAGCCCCTTATGTTTTAGTAACAGTATGAGTGCATCTTGTTGCATAAAATTCCAAAGAATGATAGATATTTGTTGACGACATAAGATATTTATAATAAAAGATGAATTTGGTGAGCTAGGTGGTTTTGAATATAGATTCACTCTACCAACTTAACAATACCAACCTTAACTTGAAATTTTCTCTCCAAATTTTTTATATGGATGGTTAAGTGGAGCATTCGAGCACAGTTGTATTTTTGTAGCATGATTTTAAAAGCTTGAGACTTGTATGCAGGTCTGTTGAGATTTAATGAACCATAAGAAGATGGCCACCTTCCATGTGAATCATCTTACTTAGGTTTACCTTTTACAACACATGGTTTATTACCAAACGTTTGTTTAATTTACTTCTCTCATTGTATTGGCAATTTGACAGGACTTTCCAAACGTGAAGAGACTTTTATTAGTCGAGAAGGATATTGAGATGATACGGGATGGAAAATTACCTGATGACATCTTTGGCAAGACAGAAGCACTAACATTGGCATGCTTTCATGATGAAAATGCCGTCTTTCCTTCCAGATTCCTCCTAGAGAGATTTGAGAAGCTGCAAAGCCTTGAGGTCTTCTGCAGTTCCTTTGAAGCTATATTTCCCGATGAAGGGCTTGTTGATGAGGAAAAACATCCGGTGCTTGAAAATTTAAGAGAACTTAAGTTAAGCAAGCTACACAACCTAAAGCGTGTGTGGAGAGAAGAAGACTATTTAGTGGCGAAAATTCTTCAGAGTATCAAAACATTTGAGGTTTGGGATTGTCTCGGTTTGACGACAATATTTCCAGCCGTGACATCCTTCCAGAATTTGATGGAGTTAGTGGTGAAGAATTCCACTGGATTGGTACATCTAGTAACAGTTTCGGCGATTACAAATTTGGTGCATCTCACTGACATTACTATAATAGGGTGTGAAAGAATGAAAGAAGTAGTGATAAACGATGGAAACGGAGAAGGAAAAGTGATTTCTCTTGGGAAGCTAGAAAGTTTGACACTCCAACATCTGCCGAGCTTAGAATGCTTCTCCTCCACCACAAGTTACATCTCGGGGTTTCCATCCTTGCGGGAGATTAAAGTGGAAGACTGTCCTAAAATGAAGATGTTTTCTAAGGGTAGGCTACACACACCAAAGCTGCGTTTTGCCATACTGTTCAGATACGACTGGGATGTGCGCTCGGAGGGTAATCTCAATACAGCCATACAAAAGTTGTCAGCATAAACAAATGCACACAAACTTAGTAAGATCCAATCAATGTCATTCGCATCCGATTTTTTCTTTCGCTTGCCTCTGCTTCTCAAATTGTTCGACACTTCAAGCTCCACAAGTTCTAAAATTTTCCGTCTTTTTAACTTGTCCAGTCATCGATAAAAGGGAATGGCTGGCGCTGCAAGTGGTGCAGAGACCTGGACGTTCACTCGGGCACTATCGGAGGTTGATCATGAAGAAATTTTCTTTTTTTTTATTGAGCAATAAAAATGGGAACGAATTTCCGGCGAGGATGCTAAAATCAGTGATAGATTTGTCTCTTCAGTAAATTGGCTTCTAAAATCTCCAACTCTCTCTCTCTCTCTCTCTCTCTCTCTCTCTCTGCCCTAGCTTGACCAGCAAGCACCACGCACCCATGGAGACGGCGCAGAACGGACGAGTCAAAGAGGGGGCCGCCGCCGCCGCCGCCGCCGCTCGCGACGGCTCGATTTGCGGTTACGAGGCTCGGTGTGAGAGACACAGCGAGAGAGACGAGGCTCGGTGTCGCTGAACGAGTCAATGGTAAATGATTGGACTTGGGGTGTGTTTCTGGAGTGTTAATCGTCTTCTTCGATTGGATTTTTGACCTGAGCGATTAAGGATCCGAAGTTGATTTCGTCGAATCCGCGGGATTTCAAAATCGGTAAAAGTCCGTCGCGTTGAAGATATTCTGGCGCCGGTACTTTTCTATAAGCTTGATGATGCTAGCGTCTATTGATTTCGAATTGGTGCTGATCTGGAAAGCGAAGGCTGCTTGGAGAAGGATTGATCGCAGTAAAATGTTGGAAGAGGTTTGAGACTTTTTGAAACGAAACACGCAAATGATGCGGTCAGATTGTAGAATTCTGTTCTGCTCGGTTTTTCCGAATTGAACTTATGGAAATTCGCACGAGTTGCATCTGCTTTGCTGTGCTTAAGGGCAGCACCTTAGATGTGTATTCATGTCATTAGTCAATCTGGAAGAATGTTTGATCTCGCCTACATCTTACGGGTCTCCATATGTAGGCATACCATTTACTATTCAAGTTAAATAGGAGTTGGACTTTTGTTGGAAAGGTGGATCTTAGGGATTGTAGTGGTGTTTCCCCATTACTTTTCAAGACTGTAATGGTTGTGGTTTACGCGAATTGTATGACCATCCACTTTTTGAGCACAAAAAAATTGCAAAATGTAAGAATAAAAAGCTTAGGAGTCTTATTATAGAAAGTTGGAGCTGATCATGTAATTTCAAGTCCAAATGGTTCTAAATTGACATGGATCAACTGCCCATGAAAATATTTGTTGAGACAACTGAGTGACTCCGCAATTATCATGTCAGCGAATAGAATTACAGACCTCGGTTTTTTCTTGATGAGAGTTTCTGTTAGCTGGAGGCTGAAGGAATTCATAACTTATGTTCCACAGTTCATGGTTGCTATTTCCATGTATGCCATTTGAAAAGGGCTTTATAGATGAAAGCTTGAAAGGGTAATCATATTTCTTGCTGGTGTTCTGTAAAATTTGTTCCCTAGACTGCGTGTGCCTGAACATGTCGAAGAGGAAGTTTTGAGCGACATTTTTTTGGAGGTAGGAGTAGACAACAGTGACAATCTTAACCAATTGCGTCGACAGTAGAATATTGTCTCTCTGACATTTCTTTACGTATGTCTTCACTGAGAAATTGAATTGTACTTCAAAATTTCCAGGAGCTATGTCGAAGCCTTTCTTCTTCCTAAAATGTGAAAAATCCAAAGCATGTCATTCCATTGTGGTATAATCTAACTTTGTTTTTAAACCATTATGATATTGATTTTCAGGAAGTCAGTCATATACTTATAGGATTGTTTGTGGAAGGTCTCTAGAAGCTGTTCCTCTGGCAGATTCTACAAAAGATTTCTCATCTGAATGTAATTTTGACAAACAGGTAAACCTATGTTAGCTTTTTTTTGTGCTGCTTATTGGACGTGGAAAACTAAATGCTGCTCCTAAGAGTCCTGGTCACACTAGGCTGCACTGTTTCGTGTGCTCCATTACCATCTTGTAGGAGTTTGATAAGGACTTACTATAAATCAAATAGGTTCCTTATCTAAAAACAGTATTCCAGATAGTATGAACTTGTCTTCTTAGCACATTCCTGGTTGGAGCATACGGAGAATCTGAGTGTGTGCATTGGTGTGTGTGTGTACTTTTAGCTTGCAAAGTAAAAGAAGTTAGAAAGAAATAAGCATGTCATCTGAAAAATGAAGGTATCTTGGGCAATTGGTTTCAGATGCTTTATGTCCCTTTGGCAACCATGGAAGACAAAGTTGCTTAACTCCACCAACAGACACTCAATTTATGATTGCCTCAGTCCAAAGTCATTACAATAGCCTATGAAGCAAGTTCCTTCAGCATTCCTGGGTCTGCAAATGGGAGTTCAGGCCAAAAAATGGTTGGCAGTTTTCTGAGGAAGGTGAGAAAAGATCTTTCAATGTGTGCTCCTTGTTCTCTTTGCGAAGTGGCATAGGGAGTTTCTGTTTATAACGCAGCAGTCATTCACATTATTGATAGATAAAGAGGACCAACCAAACAAAATCATGTCACTGGGTTACATATATGGTCCTAACGGGGGAAATATATGTCTGAAAGCAAAGAATTGCAAATGTCTGGTCCGGAGGTCCTTTGGCAATATTGAGCACTTGTCACTAGGGAGGTCTTGAAGAGCATAGTCCTGGAAATGACCTCATCTGAAATCTGTATTAGCATGGACACTTGGTTCTGAGTTCTTCCATGAGATGGAAGGTGTGAGAAAATCTGATTAATATGGTCTTGTGCCGTGGTGAGATTCTGTGGACTTGGTGAAACAATGGAATAGAAAAATGTGTAAAGTTTGAGGTAGTCAAATGATTCTGGTTGATTAAAGCTAAGAAGTACTCTTACATATTCTTTGGGGAATTCGCAATAAGGTAGTTGCTAACTTTCATTGAAAACAATTACCTTGCTTCCCGCATTTCTTGGCAGGATCCTATAATTTTTATTCATTCTGACTGGTTTTGTGGAATCTTTTTTTATCAATTTATTCTGATTTTCATTTAGGCATTTCCCTTTACGGCAGACAAGTAGTTATTAAGAGAACCGCGAGTTGTCAGAGTTGGGCTTATACAGAACTCTATAGTTCTTCCCACACTGCTCCCTTTCTGGATGAGAAGAGGGCTATCCATCAGAAAGTAAAACCGATGATAGATGCTGCAGGTGCTTCAGGAGTGAACATCTTATGCTTGCGGGTTAGTCACGCCATGACGCTTGAGCTATGCATTTTGGTTTCCCCTTTTGGACTTAAAGACTGAAGTTCAGCTACTGATCTAATCTTAATCTAGGAAGCATGGATGATGCCATGTGCCTTTTGTATAGGAGAGAAGAGGTGTGTGAATTTGCAGAGCCTGTTGATGGGGAATCAACAAGTTTTCTTCAGGATCTAGCGAACAAGTAAAATATGTTCATTGTCAATCCTATCCTTGAGAGGGATACAAACCACGGGGAGACTATCTGGAATACTGCTGTTATTATAAGCAATCATGGCAATATTATAGGCAAGCAGCAAAAGGTAAGTGGAATTGTTGCGGGTCTCTGTCTTTGATGTATCCCTTTTTTTCGGTCGATATTGATGTATCCCTTTTGACTTGTCATAATGAAAAGCTTGATAATGGCATTTGGCAGAACCACATCCCCGGGGTCTGAGATTTCAATGAAAATACGTACTATATGGAAGGAAATACTGGGCATCCTGTGTTTGAGATTGCTTATGGAAAGATCGCTGTCAATAATTGTTATGGGGGGCACCATCTGTTGAATTGGTTAGCATTTGGCTTGAATGGTGCTGAGATTGTGTTCAACCCTTCTGCAACCGTCGGTGAACTTAGCGAACCCATGTGGCCAATTGAGGTATTTACAAATCCCTATGTATGCTTGATTTATCAAACTTGTGCTATGAATTTATATTGCTCAATCTTCTTTCTCGCTAGATTATTGCCCCAGTTAACTTAACTGTTCATGTAAATTCAATTTACAGGCCCGAAATGTTGCCATTGCCAACAGTTATTTTGTTGGATCAATTAATTTGGTAGGAACAGAATCATTTCCCAATCTGTTCACATCAGGTGACGGGAATCCACAGCACACAGATTTCGGGCACTTCTATAGATCCAGTCACTTATCAGCTCCAGATGCTTCGTCTATGCCATCACTATCCCGTCACAGAGATGGATGACTGGCTTCAGACATGGATCTCAACCTCTGTAGGCAGCTAAAAGACAAATGGGGGTTCAGAATGACTGCTCAACGAGCTCTATGTCGATATGCTCGCTCAGTATTTGAAGTTGGACTTTGAACCCCAGGTCATATCTGATCCCTAGCTGCATAAGAAGACCTCTTAAGTTTTTTATTCAGATTACTGTAAATTCAGGGACGACTTTAATTTTCCAACAACTCTGTCTTTTGTGTCCAGCCGAGCGTGCGTGTATTTGCTGAGAATCTGTTCGTTAGTTCCCCTTGCAGCTGAGGCCCCCTTTATTTTGTAGACAGCATTCATTTTTTGTTTCAGCCGAACCACTTGTTTCTCTAGTTGGTACCAGCCGAGATTGCTTGGTTGCATTTCCTTCTTGGCGTTGTTCTTTTTCCTCGTTCAATTAAACCTCACGTGGCAAATGTTCATGCCATTTTTGGCCAACGCGAGAGGGAGAGAGGGGAAGGGGCCAAAATTGGTTTCTGCCGTGGATCGGGCTCGGACTCTTGGGTCCAGTGAAAAACTTGGATCGGGCTCGGACTATATTCGGCACAAAGAATCGCAAGTTGGGTGGTATATTGCGTCAGTTTAAATGCAATTCATAACCTGAACTATATTTTATTCGATGCGAAAATGCTATTCCTAAATAAAAATGTCTGAATTCAGCCGAGATTTCTCCCTCAATTGGCCAAAAATCTTCCTCTCTATTTCTGTTTGACCGAGTACATATCTTCGGCCCCTCTTTCCTCTTCTCTTCTCTTCTCTTTTCTTTCCTTTCCTTTTCGTTTTTCTTCCCATGTCAGCCGGCCTCCTGTTTCTTTATTTGGCATCAGCCGAAATTGCTTGGTTGCTTATCCTTCTTAGTTTTCCGCATCAATTTTACAACAGATGCCTTGTCATTCGCTAGCTGGGAGGCTTTGAGATCGAAATTCTCCAACCAAAATCCATATAAGGGCAACTTGGCTATCA